AATCGTCCGGCCTAACCTCCTCGCGACGAGGATTTGGCAGGTTGTTCTCTTCCTTTTCACCTTAACGCGCAACAACAGGATGCATAACCTCTTCACCCGCCGGAGGCGGTTACAGAACCGCCAGAGCTTCTTAGCGCTGCATTCCAGCTTTCAGCTCTGTATTCTCTCTCCTAAGAACTTCGATCATGTTCATCAACTCATCAAGCTTCATCTGTTAGACATTCTCCACCGAATTGGAGCTCTCGCCTCCTATCATGATTCCGGAGCGAAGCAAAGGCATGAATCACAAGATCTTAATCAAATTTGAGCTTTACCGATGCAAATCTCGTCGGATCTGGACTCTGATTCACTGAATCGCGATCACAGTTCGCTAGATCTGAGCTTTTCTAGCTTTTAACTCACCGGGTCTAGCTGCGATCAAGCAAATCTCAGCTGCGTACTTCGTCTTCACGGATCAGTTTGAATTAGCATGACATCGATCAAGCATAAATGAATGTTCTTCATCGCTTCCCACAAACGGCGCCAATTGAAGATGCAAAGAATTTTCTCTCTCTATTTGGACAGAATCTCATTACATTTTCAATAAAAAAAATAATCATCATCCCCTCTTTCACTCTCTTCACTGCCTTTTTATAGGCAAGTACAAGTGCTGCTGGACTATCAGTTTTGGGCTTTCTTTCCAATGGGCTTAGCCTTCTTCGATGGATCCTCCGGGCTCGGCCCATTCTGCGGTGCTCCTGTATAGGCTGAATTCACTTGTTTGACCCGATGCCATGTTCGCGGATCATATCCAGCCCATATTCCTTCTGGTATCCTCAGGTATTATCAAATCTCTTTATATTGATATTATCAAATCAATTAAGAATTTATGTTCAGTGAAAGAAATTGGACAGTCCAATACCATTTGATCTAAGATAAAAATAATTTAATATAGTAGTCATTATCAAAGTAGTTCAACATGGAAAACATTTAATGTGGTTAGGATTATTTGGGTGTGGACCACGTATATTCCATTTTCAAACTACAAAAATGAAACATACTCATAAAAAAAAAAAGAAATAAATAAGGAAAAATAAAAAAACGAGAAATAAATAGTCTCATTCAAGTCAACGTGACTTTATGGGCACTAAAGTGGCGCAATGGGCTCCGTCAACGCAGAACTTCCTTAGTTCCCGTCCCGCGCTCAATCTTATTCGTGTCAAGAATGAATGTTGTTTGTCAGGAAATTAAGATGAACGAAATGTTATTGATAATAATAATAGTTGAAGAAGAATATATATATATATATATATATATATATATTCTTCTTCAACTATTATTATTATCAATAAAATTATATATAAGATGAGAGACAACTGCGGTCGGTTAAAAGAGAAACAGGGACCATCTCGACTTGTTTAATAGGGAGGATCTATTTTTTTTGAAAAAATAAGGGAGAATATGATGAATTTTTCTTAATTCAAAAAGTTGTAGTTTTTAAATTGTGAAATTTTTTTCTTATCTCAAAATGGTGCAGTTTTCAAACTTTCTTTAAATTAGTTGACGTGATTTAACATAGCTAAATTTTAAATGTCACGTGTCAATCGGTAGCGAATTCAATTTAGAATAATTTAAAAAATATTTAATTTAGATAATTCAAAAATAGAATTATAAAATTGATTAAGAATTGGTATTATCAAATCTCTTTATATTGATATTATCAAATCAATTAAGAATTTATGTTTAGTGAAACAAATTGGACAGTCCAAAACCATTTGATCTAAGATAAAAATAATTTAATATAGCAGCCATTATCAAAGTAGTTCAACATGGAAAACATTTAATGTGTTTGGGATTATTTGGGTGTGGACCATGTATATTCCATTTTCAAACTACAAAAATGAAACATACTTATCAAAGAAAAAGAAATAAATAAGGAAAAAAAAAAAAAAGAAAAAGAAATAAAAAGTCTCATTCAAGTCCAAAGTACGAAGCGGCACTTTATGGGCACTAAAGTGGCGCAATTGGCTACGTCAATGCGGAACTTCCTTGGTCCTCGTCCCGAGTCCAATTTTATTCCTGTCAAAAATGAATGTTTTTTTTTGTCATAAAAATAAGATGAACGGAATTTTATTAATAATAATAATAGTTGACAAAGAATATATATATAAAAGCATGAATATTGTCATATTTATGAAATTAGGAAAATATATTGTCATATTTATGGAGTTAAAAAAAATACAACTAAAAATTCTATATATATATAAGATGAAAGACAACGGGGTCGGTTAAAAGAGAAAAAGAGACCATCGTGACTTGTTTAAGAGGGAGGATCTATTTTTTTGAAAAGATAAAGTTAAACGTAGTTAAAATATGATAAATTTTTCTTAATTCAAAAAGTTGTATTTTTATATTGTAATTTTTTTTTTTATTTTAAAATAGTGCAGTTTTTAAACTTTCTTTAAATTAGTTAACGTGGTTTAACATAGATATATTTTAAATGTCACGTGTCAATCTGTAAGGAATTCAATTTAGAACAACTTAAAAAATATTTAATTTAAAGAATTCAAAAATAGAATTAGAAAATTGATTAAGAATTGGTATTATCAAATCCCTTTATATTGATATTATCAAATGGATTAAGAATTTATGTTTAGTGAAACAAATTGGATAGTCCAATACCATCTGATCTAAAGATAAAAATAATTTAACATAGCGGCCATTATCAAAGTAGTTTAACATGGAAAACATTTAACGTGGTTGGGATTATTTGGGTGTGGACCACGAATTTGGTATATTCCATTCAAACTACAAAAATGAAACATACTTATCAAAGAAAAAGAAATAAATAAGGAAGAAATAAAAAAAAAGAAAGAAATAAATAATCTTATTCAAGTCCAACGTGCGAAGCGGCACTTCATGGGCACTAAAGTGCGCTATGGGCTACGTCAACGCGGACCTTCCTTAGTCCTCGTCTCGTGCTCAATTCCATTCGCCAATCGTATGCCACGTGGCCACCTGTTATTGGTCCGTCATAATCCAGCAAAACAGAAGTGTGAATAGCTGATCCTCACCCGCATTGCAGGTAAATGCTAACCACAGCCAATGAAATTTCAGATAGGTCCCGGTCTGAGATCAAAATGTTAGGAGTTAGCGCGTTGTCCGTCACTTGCTAGGTGATTTAAGAACTACCCGAAATGGGCATCTCTTCGAGCAAGACGCGTTCACACCTGTGGAACAAGATACTTTTGTACTCTAAATGTAGCCAAAATATTTTAATAATGTAGATTGACTATAATAACCTTAAAGCGGGCCACCATCAACTGCGACGCTTCAATGACTATCCCTGGGCATTCGGCTACCATTATTTTATGTGTCATATATTTATTATAAATATTATATTCACAAACACTCGTAGTCCCGTACTATAAATATTATATTCACAAACACCCTTAGTCCCGTACTATAAATTTGTCATATTACTCCCATGCATTATGTTTTTTCAATCGAGTACCTAAACTTGTTAAAAATTCATTAAATGATCCCTTTCGTTAGTGTTTCATTAAAAAGTAACAGAAATTGAGAAACTGAGAAATTGGATTGGATGAGAAGTATCTGCCGCCATAGGCTCCAATGGAGGCAGCAGGTCAATATATATATTTTTAAAAATTGATATTTATATATATTTTTCCCAATTGTAAATATGCTTCCAATCAAAATTGAAAAAAAAAAAAGAAAAAAAAAGGAGAAAAAAAGTCCAGTTTCTATATTCTAAGTTCATATGGTTAATTATTTTCTCCCTTCACTTACTTTCCTCTTCCAAATCAAGTTATAGTTAAAATTTTGTATCTCTACCATTTATTTTCTTTATAAATTATTGTGTTTGCCGGCTAGATTTTTTTATTTTATTTTTTCTAAATTAAGATTCAAATAACTTTTGCTAAATAATTGATTTATTCTATATGATCATTTCTCTAAGTTGTACAAAATTATCAATAATATGGAAAAGTATATGGTGTAGTCTAAAACAATTCTAACATATCCGAGCATATACTAATTGATGCTCAAATATTCGACTGCCAAAATTTACGATTAATTATGGTCATTGTAAATTTACTTCATCGTTAATTGTGCATAGTTAATTGAAATGAACACAATACTCTATAATACAAAAACAAAGAAGCCCCAAATAAAAATTTAAAAGTAATCAGATATATACCTTGTATTCCCTGAGTTAGTATTTGACTTTCACAAATTGTTGTAAAAAGTCGAGTGAGCCATTTTTTGAGTTGAAATAGCATAAGTTATCCTTATCATTCTTTGTCCTAGTTGAACCCACCATCGACTCTACCAGAGAATTAAATTTCAAATTTGAAGAAATAGTGCCAAAGCCCTACAAAAATTGAAAGAAAAATGACCGAGTTTACTTACATTATATTTTTTTTAAGATTGTTAGTGTCAGTATAGTTCACGAGGATATTGTTATCACTGAGGGACAAAGAGGGCAACCATTAACGTTGTGTAATAAGAATGTATTTGTTATTAATATTTTTCTAACGTCACATGTACACATATTAAAAACCGTCTAGTTCAGAGGGTCAATGTGTTACATTTTGATAATTTGATAGTTTGATTGTTGAGTTTTATGTAGTTCAAGAGTAAATGTTGCAAAAATATAAGAGTAGAGGGACGCTTAATCAAATTTGGCCTAAAAAGTTAATCAATTATTTTCTTCCACGGAGTACACGTGGGATTAAGTGATAGGTGTACTACATAAATCCTGGTGTGGTGCAATAACACCCAATCATAAAGTTCAACATATAAAATTTTAAATAAAATAAAATTAAAAGGCCTTTTTAGTCATTCTGGGTATTCCGGGTTCGTCGTTTCATTCAATGCTTCAATTTCAGCACCTACCACAAAAAGGACAACGAATACCATAAATTATCTAGATCAATCCTAGCCGTTGAATGACAAACTCAACACGAAACGCAAGATCTCAACAATCCAACGGCCCACAATAACCTACTAGAAACTTCCCTGTCTCCGCACCCTTATATCTTCACCCTCATTTGCTCTCAGATAGAGTGCTTGTGGTCTGCTCGTGCCGTCTCGTGTTAGGGTTTTTACATTCAATCTCAATTTTTCTGCCCCAAAGGTTCGCATTCAATTTAAATCCTCTAAATATTTATAGATCTTGAATGTTGTTTCGATTTCGCGTTGTTTTCCAGTTTCGATCTGTAGTTTGATCGGAGTTTTTATGCAGATTGTGCTCTTAACGTTTTGACTTCTGTTCCATCGACTGATGAGTGTGTTTCACACACATCTCTGTTACAAAGTGTGTCTATATATCTATAGATTCTTACTATTTTGAGGTTGAATGCGGTTGATTAAGCTCTGTGTATAAATTTTATGGTTGCTAAGTTGATCTAAAATATGTTTTCTATGCCGATTTGTTCTTAACTGATGGAGTGTGTTTGACGTACATTTCTGTCACTGTCTGTCTACGTATCGGTAGATTCTCACTATTTTGATGTTGAAAGTGTTTGATTCAGCTGTGTGTATAATTTATACGGTTGCTAAGTTGATTTAGAATCTGATTTACTTTTGTTTGAATCTGTTGCAGAATCGTTACTATGGGGAAGTGCTACCCGACTGTGACCGAGGATTACAAGAAGGCTGTTGACAAATGTAAGAGGAAGCTCAGAGGGCTCATCGCTGAGAAGAACTGTGCTCCGTTGATGCTCCGTATCGCGTATGCTCTCTCTCTCTATATATGTGTGTGTGTGTATAGGTGTGTGTGCGTGTATGAACTTGTGAACATATGCATATTGAATTTCGTCAAGAAAATTGGGTGGATATGAGTGGTTTGATGATGGTGGCGTGTTGCAATTGCAGATGGCACTCTGCTGGTACATTTGATGTGAGCTCTAAGACCGGCGGTCCGTTCGGCACAATGAGGCACAAGGCTGAGCAAGGTCACGCAGCTAACAATGGCCTTGAGATTGCTGTTAGGCTCTTGGAGCCCATCAAGGAGCAGTTTCCCCTCATCTCTTATGGTGATTTCTATCAGGTCTTCGACTCTCTCTGTATTTCTAAATATATATTTATTTAGATGCTTTAAGTTTTGTTTCAAATATTGACTCTCGGATTTTTGATTATTATTATTATTATTATTTTATGCCATGTAGCTCGCTGGAGTTGTTGCGGTTGAAATTACTGGCGGACCTGATGTCCCCTTCCACCCAGGGAGAGTGGTTAGTGCTCTGCTTCCATCTCTTTCTTTTTGAAATTTTTCTTTCTTGAAATTATATTTTATTTATTTCTAAATTGTAAGTTATGTTTAGAAAATGTACATGTTATGATTTCCTAGTAATATTTAATTTGTGACTGAATTATGAGATATGTTTAGAAAATGTACATGTAATTATAAGTTATATTGTTGATAAATGTTTGAATTGTTTCAATTTTTGTTGATAGATGTGTCTTTTTTTATACCTTTAGTATTTGATTTTGGCCTTTACGATTTTTTTGCTTCTTTGTGGCTTTGTTGATTGAATATATTCAGTACCACTTATACCTACTTTTGACTACGCCTGTTTTGCCTTTGATTCTGTTGGAGAGTTGTTTTTACACTTTTAATGCTATTGGCCTTTACTATTTTTTAGCTTCTTTGCGGCATTGTTGATTGAACTTCTATTGTTGATAAATGTTTGGATGAAAATTCAGCTTTTGGTTCAATTTTTGTTGATTGATGTGTCTTTTTTATACCTTTTAGCATTTGATTTTGGCCTTTTCACTATTTTTTATTTTTTGCTTCTTTGTGGTTTTGTTGATTGAATTTATTCAGTAGAACTTTTGCCTACACCTGTGTTGCCTTTAGATTTGGTTGGAGAGTTGTTTTCACACTAGAGTCATTGGCTTAGTTTCCAACTTTTGCTAACTTTTGCCTACAGCTGTTTTACCTTCTGATTCCGTGGAAGAGTTGTTTTCACACTTCAGAGTCATTGGCTTAGTTTCTGTTAGTAGAGATTGGTTTGTGAAAAAGCTTTGTTGTTGACCAATGTTTGAATGAAAAATTCTGGATACTTCAATTTTTGCATGGCATCTTGTCTGGAACCTTTAAGAAATCTGCTTTTTATAGCTATTACCAACTCTTGTCTACTTATTTTTGGCAGATCTCATATGCTGTCATGTTCACTATTGTTTTTGTTTTGATCACCATGATGCCATATGCCATATGACAGACATAACTTTGTTCTGGTGGATCATGTCTCTCTAAGACAATGGGATGCACTTTCACATTTTTCACCTATGGATATGGACCCAAACTTGCATTTTGAACTATTTTTTGTGCCTCATTATGCATTACTCAATTTTTAACAATTATTAAACATTGCCTTACTTTTTGTCTCAAAACCTTTATACCTAAATGGAATGATATGCACAAAAAATGGTTTGATAAATAACTTTTCCAAAAACCCATCTGTTATTTATTTATTTATATATTGTACAACGAAGATACCATTTCTACTATCTTATTGCATGTGTAGCTTGTTTCCTTTTGACCTTTTTTATTTTTATTTTTTTTCCCTGGTTGTTCGATTCTGTTGTGACTTGTGAGATTGCTCTTCATGATGTACTGCCCCTCCATTGGAATGCGAAGGGAAGGAAATAAATGGCCACTTCTGTTCTGCATTTTTGTTTCTTCTCCTAAATTACAATGCTATATCTTTGTGTAGACTTGTATTCCTGTTAGTGGTAATGAATTCTCTGTATTCATACTCAATACTTGCGCCCTAGGAAAGTTCTCTCTTTAGGAGAATTGGCATTTACCTTGAAATATATCTAATCTTAGGCTTATGACACTAATTTTATATGAATATTAATAACAGGACAAGCCTGAGCCACCAATGGAAGGTCGTCTACCTGATGCTACAAAGGGTTAGTATGGTAACATCATTTATGAAGAAGGGAAGCAAAATTAGAAGAGCACCCACAGTATCATACTCAAATGCAACTAGTAAGTCCTGCATGTTTCCATCAATTGTTAACCTTTTTTCTTCTGTTGCAGGAAATGACCATTTGAGGGATGTATTTATTAAACAAATGGGTCTATCTGATAAGGACATTGTTACTCTCTCTGGTGGCCATACCCTGGTATGTATATGCATTCTGAAATTTTCCTGTCTTGAATTTGTCACTGGTGTCAATGGGTGTTTTGCTACTCAACTCATATACTGAATTGTAATCATTTTCAGGGAAGGTGCCACAAGGAACGATCTGGATTTGAGGGACCCTGGACTACCAATCCTCTTATCTTTGATAATTCGTACTTCAAGTGCGTGCTCTTTCTGTTGGACTAGTTTTCCTTAATTGTCCTATCTGTACCCCTAATTTTTTTTTTTTTTTGTATCAGTAGTTTTATAAACCTTATTTTTCATGTATTTTATTGCGAAGATGTTTGAGCTATAGCAGCAGGGATAGTGTCACTTAATATTTGTGATTTTGATTACTTTCAACAGGGAACTCCTGAGCGGAGAGAAGGAAGGGCTCTTACAGCTTCCTTCTGACAAAGCTCTTCTGAATGATCCGGTCTTCCGCCCTCTTGTTGAGAAATATGCTGCGGTCTGTATTTATGCCACTTCACTATATATAATTTTTACTGTTCAAACGTACTGGTTCATTGGTTTTGTTATTCTACTGAATTTATTGCGTCTAATTGTTGTTTTCTTTTCAGGATGAAGATGCCTTCTTTGCTGATTATGCAGAATCCCATATGAAACTCTCTGAGCTGGGGTAATACTGGGTTACACATACACACACAAATACATTTTCTATTTTAGGTTTGCTGTATCTTATTGTTTGGACTTATTGATTGTATTGTTTTGCAGATTCGCAGATGCATAATTGATTGGAGGAACTAGGCGGAGTGATGGCCTGCTTTCTTCTGGTTTTTTATATTTTGATTGGGAAAGACTAAGTTGTGTGTAGTTGTTGGTTGTTTAAGTCGTAGCTTTTTGCTCTTTTGCTGGAGGTGGCATGGATGGAGGTTTTTTGGAAACTTATGGTCATTTTCTTCCCATATAATAAAAGATAAAAACTAGTCAGATATTTGCTCATTCTCTCTCTACTCTCTCTCTCTCTTTCTCTATATATATATATCTCTGCTTGTGCTTGTGCTTGTGCTTGTGCTTATTAGTAAGTGGCATGTTATGAAGTATATGCAATTTTATCACTGGAACAGCTTGAAGTATCAAGTTCAGGGTAACGTTTGGGACTATGTGTTTATTAGTAAGTGGCATGTTATGAAAGTATAAGCGATTTTATCACTGGAACCGCTTGAAGTGTCAAGTTGGAACAGCTTGAAGTATCAAGTTCAAGTTCAACCCAAACAAGGATTAGGGTAACGTTGGAACCCAATGTTATTGGGACTTGCGGAAATGTTATTCTGGTAAATTTTAATGGATCTTTGAGATGTTTTTATAGCTGATTGTGTATGGCCTTGTATTTTTAGCTGTAGATTGCCTTTCGGAATTAATTTATAGCTCTCAAGGATACTGAGAAGCTGGACTAAAATAGATGCTTGATAATTATGGAGTGTAGCTACCTGACCAGGTTTGGAGGCATGGAGTCCTCAAAATGATGGTGTGTTTTTTTCTTGCCTTGAAAAAAATAATAATAATAATAAAGAAAAATACCGATTGAGTTGAGAATCTTGTCTCGGAAAGCGAAGCGCCTCCTGCGGTAGGCACTTAATTTGATGCTGTATTCATCTTATCTACATCCATCGGCCTAACACCCCCTTATGTTTGAAAACTTTGCATACACATCCCTCCAAAATGACCATTTAACACTCTGACTTAGTAAACAAATACATAAAAAGTGTTAATTTACCAATATAACCCAGCAAAATCACCTTCATTTCCCACCCTCTAAAAATTTGATGCTGCACTCATCTCATCTACATCCGTCGGGCACCACATCTCTCATCCGTCAGCCACCACCTCTTTCGTCTGTCACTGCCGACTGACGCTTCGACGGCTTTGACGCCGAAAACAACTCACCAACTCCCACTTTGGTCTTCACCGCTCCAAAACTCCGTCGAATCTCAAGTCCCACCATGGCCCTCCTGATCCAAACCCACCTACAACAAAAGGATTTATATCAACTGGCTGATGAGGTTGGAGAAGTGTAGGTGGCTAGAGCTAACTGATTCACGTTCCAACTCTCTCCAGAACTCATCGACGTCGATTCAGTCTCGGCGAAGTGTCACATCAGGGACGCTGATGTTTTGATTAAGAGCTAGCGGGATCCTTTATGACGACGCCGTTTTGAGGTCGGAGTCCGGTTCACCATTACAGAGTTCTATTACGCCATTACAGAGTTTTATTGGCAGCGTATGCATCTACACGCCATCTACTTTGATGTCGACGACAAGGATTGGTCTATCCCATGTAAACGTCGACAATCTTGACGATCTCTCTCTTCTCTGCACTGTTACTGTTAGAATTCGTCTTTGGGTATGGTGGTGGTTGTGGTATTGTACTATTGTGTGGGTGTGGCGGCGTTGTGGTGTGTATGGGGGTATGGCAGTGGTTGTGGCGGTGTGTGTCGTAGTGGTGGTTGTGGGTGTGGCAGTGGGTGTGACAATGGGTGTGTGGTGGTGGCGGTGTGTGTGTGTGGCTGTGGCTGTGGCGGTGTGTGTGTGGGCGGTGGCAGTGGCGGTGGCGGTATGTGTGGTTGTGGCTGTGGTTGTGCGTGTTAGTGGTGGTTGAGAGGGTATTACCCGGTTATTTTTGTCTATTAACATGCTTGATATGTTTGGAAATTAATTTAATTAAATAATTAAGGATAAATATGATTTTGAAATTTTAAGAAATGTCAATGTAAAACAATACGTTGACGATTAGCAAAATGACGATCGACCAAAATTTTAAAAGTGTCGGTGCAATTTATTCTATTTTGTTTTTATAATTTAATTTTATAGCATCAACATACAACCAACTTTTTAATTATTTTTTCGGCCAGTTTGCCTTAAAATATTGACTTGCTCAAAGAATTCGGCCTGAACAATTCCTGTTGTAGCCAACCAATTGGAGAGAGCTCTGCTAAACTCATATAAACGCAATATTATTTTAAACTGTTAAAAAACAATTCAAACGAACTCCATGTAGATTCTGTCTTAATAATATATCTGATATTGTTTCATTTGGCTTCTTCTTTTTCCTCACAGCTTGAGCAATGCTTTATATAAGATGGTTTGAAATTTAATTTTATAACTCATGAATCATGCCTTTGTTCGAACCCAACTTTTTATTTTTCTATCAAATCTTTCAGTAGAGTATAAATTAAGAAACACACATGGATGGATTTGTGAGTATGGAAATTAAATAAGTTTTATGAATTATGTAGGCAAGTTTTATGAAGTGCATGTATAAAGTACAACAACATTCCTTGTGTTTGACAAAAGGACGCATAGATACAAATTACTTTATTTTTGAACAATGACACTTCCTTTTGAGATTTGCAATCCAAACGAGCTTAAATCATGTAAAAAGTTTACTTGCCTAATTTAAACACACTTGGATGGACAATGACCCCTTATGGATTTGTGAGTATAGAAACTAAATAAGTTTTATGAACTATGTAGGTATGTTTTTTAAAATTAAATTATTTAGATCCAAAGTACTTGTCAAAATGTTGCGTTTAGGATGTTATTTAATAAAATTAAAAATTAAGTACTAAATATTTTAAAAGATGAATTTTAAGTGCTTAAGTATTCAAGTGGTCATTAAGAAATAAATAATTTTGATATCTTTTTAAATTTTCAGTGCTCAGCATTCAGTGATAAGTGATATTTCTAACATTTAAAAAAATTTATCTCATTTTAAGTGATATTTTTTAAAATTTTTTGTAACTTAAAAAATTACTAAATTTTAAATAGCTCTTTTAAAGTACTTTATCAAACACACTTAATTGAATAAGTTCCGAATATATTCGGAATTCAAAATTAAACTCTAAATTAAATAATCAAATACAACCTAAATCTTTATCTTTTCACCCTTAGATGCATTTAGAGAGGGACTCGAGTAGACCTAACGCTTCGACTAAGACACTGGCCTAAGTGCCATTTTCCTTATTTATTTATTTATTTATTATTATTATTATTATGTTTTTTTGTATAAAGAAAAATTTGTTTCTAAAAGCAAGAAAAGTTTCAAGATGGTCTTTGAAATGGCCTCCCGAGAAAGTGGTCAAAATGTAGGAACTACATGAAAAAGCAAAACAAGTGGTCAAAGTCAAAATTTGTAGGAGTTATAAAAATCTTCCAACTAATCAATTATTTCACACGATGTCAAAAAATAAAACAGTTGCCAAAAGTCAAAAATACACACCCTGAGCATGCATACTTTGGGTTTCGTCCAAACACGTCCTGCCGCGTTTTCGCATCTCTTTCCTTCCACCAGCTCAGTAGTAACCCCAAACTAAGCTCAGAAGAGTCTCTTATAAACACACTTCCAAAACTTCATCTCTCCTCATCAGATTCACAGACATAAATTCTAGAGAGAGAAACACATTAATTATACACATATATAGAGAGAGGGGCAATGGTTTATGTCAACGCCGCCGGCGGTCAATTCCCGGACTTTCCGGCAGCTTCGTCTCACGGAGGCCAGTTCATTCAGTACAACGTTACCGGCAACTGCTTCGAGATCACATCGAAGTACAGGTCTCCGATCGTGCCTATTGGTCGCGGTGCTTATGGAATCGTCTGGTAATTCATCTCTTCAGTCCTTTCCATCGATTGATTATATATATATATATATGCTTCGATTTCGAGGAAGTTTATAGGTTAGTTTAATTTTGATTCTGATTAGTTTATCACTGAGTGAGTAACAATTCGTGAATAGGTTTGTATTGATTTCCTCTTTTTGTTATGAAGCTCGGTTTTGGATTCGGAGACGAACGAGATGGTTGCGATCAAGAAGATAGCGGATGCCTTTGATAGTTACGTGGATGCGAAGCGAACGCTGAGGGAGATTAAGCTTCTTCGACATTTGAATCATGAAAATGTAAGTGTTTGTTTCTTTATTACTCAATTTCTATTTCTCATCTGTTTAATTGAGTTTGGTCCAATAAGATTTGAAAACAGAATATTGTTTTAATTTTTATTTGTTTTTTTGGATTGAAGGGTTTGAGTAATAGCCAAATGATAAGAGAATTAGTCACAATCTTACTGCTCAGTTCTTTGAATTTTTAGCAATTGAAGTTGCATACTTAATAGGTCTAGATCATCAATTTCAAATTGTGGCAAACCAAATTATAATGACCCAAAATTGGTAAAGCTTTAGTAGGTGGATGTTTGTACATGTATGTGTTGTCTCTCTTTTTCTGTAGGAAGAAAAAACAGAAATAATTACATTTTATTTTCGTTTTAGACTTTTGGGATGGCATTCCCTTAAATTTGAAGGGGTCACACTGGCCATTTTCCCTTTGTATGGTTTTTGGAGCGAAAATTTGTCAATTTAAAATGCATTATTGGGGAAAAATAGCAGAGCTTACCATGTTTAGTTTTCTTGTATTTGATCATTTTTAGGTCTCATTTTATGACAACATTCAAACCTTTTAATTTCACCTGGGGGATGATTGTCATTCTCTTAGTAGCTTCATTAAAGACGGAAAATTTCTCCGATCAAGTGGTAATTCAAATTCAAGGGACACGGGGACACACCCTTAATTTCTTCCATCAAAGGTTCTAAGCATCGGTGTCAGTGTTCTTTTTTCAGTTAGTCTTGCCAACTTCATTAATATGACTAGCTTACATTGTGAACCATTTGTCAAGAATCAATATTATGAATTAATCTTTTTATGTAACGCCCCTGTTAGTCTTTTTGAATTATGCATACATGCATACAATCATTCTTGAAACTTTAGTTCATCAACTCCACTAACATATAAACATTTAGTCAAAGGAACTTTTGCGAAGACGGAACAAAGAACTTGTTCTTCCTTTTAAGGAATTATTCCAATAATTTTGAACCTAGTCTTTTTGAGAAAGCAACTAAGCAAGTATTGTAATTAGTGTTTATGAGCTAGATTTCTAGCAAGAAAGTTCAGTTTTGAAGTTTATATTAGTCTTTTTGAGAAAGCAACTAAGCAAGTATTGTAATTAGTGTTTATGAGCTAGATTTCTAGCAAGAAAGTTCAGTTTTGAAGTTTATAATTTATTTATATTTCCTTTTTGAGGTTGAATTTATTGTTTTTATTGATGAAAACAGGTCATAAGCATAAGAGATGTAATTCCTCCACCTCTAAGGAGGGATTTTTCTGATGTCTACATTACCACAGAACTCATGGACACCGATCTTCACCAAATAATTCGATCTAAACAAAGTTTATCAGAGGAGCACTGTCAGGTATATATTTTACCCCAAGTTCTCGCATTATATAACAATTCAGCACTCTAGTTTATGAGCTTAATTTTTCCAAGAAAAGAAAAATGACATTTATTTTGTAATTGGATCCTTGCAGTACTTCTTGTATCAGATCCTTCGAGGACTAAAATATGTACATTCTGCAAATGTTATTCATAGAGATTTGAAACCCAGCAACCTTTTGGTGAATGCAAATTGCGATTTGAAGATTTGTGATTTTGGTCTTGCTCGGCCAAATTCAGAGAACGACTTCATGACAGAATATGTTGTCACCAGATGGTACAGGGCACCTGAGCTATTGTTGAACTCTTCAAACTACACTGGTGCAATTGATGTGTGGTCTGTGGGATGCATCTTTATGGAGCTTATGAATAGAAAACCTCTCTTTCCGGGCAAAGATCATGTGCATCAGTTCCGCCTATTGACAGAGGTAAGACCCAACTTAAGCAACAGAGATGACTAATTCTGTTTTTAACCATTTTTTGACTTCGAATGCTATCCAATACATGAATACTATCAAATACAATAACCAGAAATTTGATTATTTTATAGACATTAGGGAAATGACATTCTAGTAGGATCAAATTGATGTAAATTCACAAAATAACGATCGCATCAAATGATGCAAGTATAACTTACTGTGACAGTTATCTTGCTTCACTTTCTTCTAAGTGATTTTATGACTGAATTAAGAACTCATTTCCAGTGGTGGCCTTCATCTGATGACTACTTATGCATTCTTCTAAAATTTTTTAGCTTCTTGGCACACCCACTGAATCTGATCTCGGGTTTGTTCGGAATGAGGGTTCAAGAAAATATATACGCCAACTTCCCCAACATCCTCGCCAGCAATTGGCAAAGGTTTTCCCACACATTGGTCCATTGGCCATTGATCTCATGGATAAAATGCTGACATTTGATCCAGCTAAAAGAATTACAGGTAACTTTACTATTCTATGTCAGCTAGTTGGATGTTCTTGAGACACATTTGAATTTTGAAGTGCTATTTAGTGTTAGTTATGTGATGTTGGTGTTTAATGGTCTCCACTAGTTGGCAGCATGAGAATGATTTACTAAATTTAAGCCATCATTCATTGCTCTCTCTATATCTGAGGCTGATCTAAACATAGAAGTGGAGAATTTCACCCTATAGAATTGTTGTCAACATTCATTTCTTAGTTTCCACCAGCACACCACTGCCTAAATGTTGCCACCGTCAAGGTCTCATCATGACTATCAAGAATACGTCTTCATTACTGCCACCACCATCTCCAACAACTTGTTAGTACGAGACCACACTTGTTTATCATATCTAATTTAGTTCAATCCATTTCTAGGAAGGACTGGATCTCAAATGGTCTTGATCCATATAATAGATATACCATTTTATGATTTGCTAAGATCAAAACCTAATGAGCTCTGGTCAATTAATAAATAATTGTTTCTCCATAATTTCGTTTGCCATGTACACCATTCTTAAATAGTATATAAGTTAATTGTCATATGCTCTGTTCACATTACAACAGTATTATTATTACTATTGTCATCTAAACAAAATTTAATTGTATGTGGATGCAGTTGAAGAAGCATTAGCCCATCCTTACCTTGCAAACATACATGACAGAGATGATGAACCGGTCTGTCCAGAGCCGTTCTCCTTTGATTTTGAGCAAGCTTTGGGAGAAGAGCAAATGAAGGATATGATTTATCAGGAGGCCTTGGCACTCAATCCATATTATGCATAATACCCCAAAAAAGAAAAAGCATCAATGGCGGCTTTCCTATATATATATATATATATATATATATATGATAAATCGATTTGCAGTTAGTTCTGCCTCACAACGAACAAGATGGCTGTGGCTGTGACTGAAATAATGCAAGCATCAGAGCAAAAGGAGTAAGGATCCTCAGCTGTACAGCCATGGAGGGCCGTGATTGAAACACACATGAACTTTACACACTTATTAGTTTGCACTAACAACAGTTGATACTTAAGATCATCATGCCTCATTGATTTCCTACTGCCCATTTGTTGTACTTGGCTAGATGCTGGATTTGTTAGGCCAGTCCCATTGCAAGTTCTATTTAACCACATAACCTTCAAATTCCTTTGTAAATTCTTTTTGGTTGATTTTATAATTTGTTCTGATAGTGTTTGAAATTTGACAATTTTTTAACCATAAATTGGATCGAGTGTAACTGAGATATAACTTTTTAGTGAGTATAATAAGTTATGTTCTTGATTTTATTTATTTATTTTTAGCTTCCTTCCAAACAGTTATGTTCTACAATTTGTTCTTGTTCAAGTGAACCGAAATCTGTCAAAGTTTATAAGATGACCGACACAAAGGTGAAGTTCTGTAAATTGAAGTTCAATTGTACAGCATGGCATACTCTAATTAATAACATGACTGCAAGTGCAAGAAGATTGAGTGTACCCATTAGCAACTCTTGAGATACAAACAAAAAATTACTTTCAGAAATGGCTTTTGAAACAACTTTTATATCTGTTAATATTTATTCCGCGCGGATGGCCCAGATAAGGATCACTTAGATTTAAATGATATACGTGTTGGCATCTAAATATGGTCGTCGGCCACATGATTACTTGCATCTATAGATATTTTGTGTCTCACATTTAATACTATTTGTCAAGCCAATTGAATTGTTAATTAGAAATTTAAAGAAGTCCCACATCTTGAAATAGATTAGAAGTTATAGATTTAATAATATACAGACACCAATTTCTACCTTCAACACAATTAAAGAAAGAATTAAACCAAATTAGGAAGATTTATCAAATAACTTCCTATTATAGTATGTTTATCTGTACATGTCACATCCTTTATGTGCAGAAAACACTCTTAAAAATATCAATTTGTACAAATAAGTCTCACCCGACACATTTAAAATAGACTTTGTCCAAATTACTCTTATGGAGACAATTAGCACATTATTTTTTAAAAAAGTTATTTTGTGAAATGATGAAAGAGGACTACATCCCTAAGGTAGGGTAAAATACGGAAACACACCTAAGGAGATTGAACACCCTTTTGTTTTATTTTGTTTTGTTTTGTTTTTCTTTTAAAATAAAGATTGAACACCCGTTTGTTATTATGTAATTAATTACATACACGTGAAAATTTAAAGTAGAGGGCAGTGATGCGGTGTTTTTTTTTTTTTTTTTTTTTCAGTATAGATTGAAAGAGAGATAATACAATGTTAGGGGAAATATATAGAGATTTTTTATTTTCTTTTTGAAAGGTGAGGGAAAAGACTTAAAAGTGGATTAAATATAGTTAATATGTACCTAACACCCGTCTAATATAAGATTATTAGCATACACACCTTCTTAGGCATTTTCGGAAGATTAAAAGGGCAAAATGACTATTATAACATTACTTTATGTCAAAACTCTGTAGAAAGTAATTTGAGGGATCTTTTTGCTCAATTTTTAAAGAATAAGGAGGTTAATTAATAGCACACTTTTTAAAATATGGGTGAAAATGTTATGCGAAGTATACTTTAGATGTGTAAAGTATACACAGGCTACATTTTGATAAATAGGAGAGAAAAGAAAGGAAATGATAACATTAGTTATGAGAGAAAAGAAAAGAAAAGAAAAGAAAGAATAACAATACTCTCTAATCATGTTTGGATAGATATGAGAAAAAAGAAAGGAAAAAATAATATTTTTATTTGGAAAAAAAAAGAGAGAAAAGAAAAGATAGGATTATACCTTTTTAATTACATGGGACATGAGTGGAATAACAATTTTCACTTTTTAATTGTTAAGAGCAGTTTTGAAATTATAAAATACTATGGGTCTATTTGGTTTGTAATTTTGAAAATAATTATCAAGAAATCTGAAAACAGAAAACTATTCTTAGAGAACAATTTTTAATAGTTATTTAAAAACAGGGATTTTTATAAATGAGTTTTTAGAAAACAGTTCCTGAAAACAAATCATTTTAATACTAAAATGTTAAATCCTTCAAAGCATATTTTTAATTCAAATGTTTTAAAATGTTAGAGAAGATGTAATTTTAGCCTTCTTTTAGTTTTATAGAATTGCTTACATACCAAAAGGGAGAGAAAAAAAGAAAAGAAAAGAAAAAACTTAAAAACAAATCTAAACTACTGCATGTAATTGTAGTTTTTGTTCAAATAAGAAGTTCTAAAATTTTAGACCAAAATAAAGTGAAAAAGGTTATGCATATATGTCACTTGACCGGAGCTTACATTGTTAAATTCGTTTTCTAACATTTTAAGCTTTCGGCATAATTACAGGTTTGATTTTGAGAGTTCTATGGGTTTAAGTCTCCACATATGCATATATTTGTTTCTTAGTTTGATTCACAAGTTTGAATAGAAAGTTTCTTTTGGTGTTGTTGAGGTCGTTCTGTATACAAAGAATATATGATGAAATTTTGCAAGAAGATCATGTTAATATTCAGTCTCTCTTATTCAATTTTGATAGGCATGTTACTTCAATAATTGACCATTATAATATGCAGACTCCTGTCACTCTGCTTCTGGAGTATATATTATAATATTCCACACACACACACACATATATTCCCATTGGGTCAACCATATTTTTTTATTTGAATTACAAGTCACATTCATCAATAATCTTTTTGCGCAACCACAATATCCATGTGAATATCTGGTCTCACAACTAATAAAAATGCACCAAACCAAAAAGACATCCCTCCCTATTTTTTCTATTTTTGGAGTTTGGATATATAATTTAAGAGTAATGATACTTGATTTGTTGTAATGAATTATTTAACCGAATATTTCTGATTAGTTATTTATGCACAATATATATAAGTGGAGGATCCCATTTACAAATCATCATCTTTCAAATAAAAAATTGAAAAATTGGACGTGGTAGTAATTTTTCAAAGTAATAAAAATGAAAAAAGAAGATGAAAAGATCTCATTATAAGACTGTTTGGTTTGGATTTCACAACATCTTGAACTATAAAAAGACAATTTATACAACTAATCAAGTTTTTGTATAGTTTTTTTTTATTTTCAATTCTCTAAAATGAAAAATTATTTTAAAAAAACTGAACATATATACCGTCATAGAATTAAGTTTTCGTGTGTGAATTAACAAGTATAACTTGATTTATGAGCTATATGAGTTGATCAACTTTGAGCAACGGAGGGTTGAATTCACCACTTACATATATATATATTTTTTATATATATAATATATTCAAGATACAATTGATTGGCTTTATAATATATACAAGGTACAAGTTATTGGTGATACTAAGTAACCTAATATTACCGCCATATGGTCCATGGTAGACCCCATTTGTTTACATATTCATAGAAGGGGTCACATGCCTAAATTTGGCAGTATTGTTAGACCTTGTCATGCATGCACCCATCCATCCCACGATTTACTATTATTTAGTTTTAAATGCGAGACTTCAAGTCCTTGATAGAAGGGGTTTGAGGGACCCTCTATCACAATCAAAAATAAAAAAATAAAACATAACAATAGGTTGATATTAGGCATTTGACCTTCACAAAAATCTTATTATTAATTTTCAAATCCAGATGAGGTCTAGATACTTGGTTGTACAATAAATTAGTGCTCCTTGAATTTTTTGTATTTACTAATCTAATAATTCGTATTTAACACTTCTCGTCCAGAAAAAAAAAAAAAAAAAAAAAAATTAGATACAAATTTTTGAGTGGCATTGTTGGTCTTGCTGCACAACCACCAGAATTTAAATAACCATGTGAATGTTTGGTTTGACTAAGAGAGAAGATGCACCATCAGTGGTGGGCTAGTAATCTCACGTTATATATTAAAGGGAAGACCTACTCATTAAATGAATTTAGTTGTGCAGTAATGGCAGCTACACAGTCACAAGAGCTGAAGAGCAACTTGGACAACACAATCTCCGGCGATTCAGAAGTGCAGATGTCAGATTCCGGTAGCAAACGAGGCGGTTGGATCACCTTCCCCTTCATCATAGGTCTCTCTTAATTAGTCTTATCTCATATTATTCAACTATGTGCATGTGTGTGAGTGTTTATGTTGCACCGACATATTTTTACATGGTCTTTTTATTCAATATTGCAGCAACTATGACTGGCTTGACACTAGCCGCTGGTGGTGTGACCGCGAATCTTATTGTTTATCTTATTGGCAAATTTAATGTGAAGAGCATTGATGCTGCTCAAGTTTCTAACATTGTTAATGGTTGCAGTAGTCTATTTCCGGTCATCGGAGCCATTCTTGCCGACTCTTTTCTAGGCTGTTTCTCTGTCATCTCCATTTCTTCTTTAATCTCTTTGCTGGTAAGCGGTGGCAATAATATATATCAGTTTCTGAGGGATTATAATATTGTCATCATATTGCTCATTTAATTATAATTTTGATAAACTAAAAAAAAGATAAGCTAGGTTTGTCCCCTTAATGCCGTATCTTGAAGCAGCTTTAAGAAATTAATAACAATATTTTAGTAAACTGATTTCACTACTTCTAAGAATATCTTTTGAGTTCTTAATCTGAAAATTAATAGCTTACTCCATATTTTTTTCATGAGTAGTGATAGATGGGTCGATGATTTTGGCAAATTAGTTTGACAGAATACACATGGCAGTCCAGGGTAAACAACTTTAACAATTAAAAAAAGTAAAGAAAATAAAAGGAGAAACAATATGCGCGTCCGTCGATTCATCTTTCCCCCAAGTTATTGGCCAAGTTCTTCTTTTCTTATAGTTATCAAATCTCTCCCTCTTCGTTTCGTCACTTCAAACAATATTTTTTACCATCTTAACTTGAAGAGAGAAAGAACTTTTAATTACCAAAAAAAAAAAAGAGAGAAAGAACTTTTGATTTTTAAAGTATGGTTGCAACTTCATATCATATATCATATTCATATATATTTATATATATTGTATCATATGAGTAAATTTTTTTTTGAAAGGTAAATATATGTATTTATTTGTTTGATTATATTGTTCTTCATAGTCTATAAAAAAATTTCAAAGAAATATTATGCGAGAAATACAATGAGAAAAAAAAATAAAGGAGAGAAAAGCGATGAGAGAGAAAGAGATGAAAGTGGCCTAGCTGGGCAGGTCACGTAGTTTCTGCCAAAGTAATCGGTCAAATACGTCGGTTAAAATATCATTTTCTTTTTTCCATAAATATGAGAGGATAATAATTCACTTTGTGATTTACCGAAAAAATTAATAATTCACTTTGTTATAAATGTTCCAGAGATAAAAAAAGCCAAATTAAACATGAAACTGCCAATAATTAAGAACTAATTTATTAAAAGCCTCTATTTTAGTTTCATCAGTGAGTAGGATGAAGCTATTCACTCTTATGCAGTCCAATAACAAAATAACACATCACCTTTAATAATAAAATAATTCACACATTTCTCTGTTTTTTCGGATTAACCATTGAATAAACGTATATTGTGCTTTTAAGCGTGAATTATTTTATTATTAAATGTAATGTATTATTTTATTATTGGATCAAATAGGAGTGAGTAGCTAACTATCATCCTTATTAAAATTCTATAAGTTTTTTTTTTTTTTTTCAACTCGTTTTAGTAGTTCGGCCGATCCACAGTATATGTTATTCAAAAATGTTATTGTACCAAAAAAAAAAAAAAAAAAAAAAAAAAAAAAAAAAAAAAAAACAACCACGGTAACATATTTTGATCAGCAGTCAACATCTGCACTTGCAGGGCACGGTTCTTTTCCTCCTCACCGCGACACTCGATTCCTTGAGACCTTCACCATGTGGAAATGGATCAATCTTGTGCACAAGTACCCCATCGAAAATCCAATTTGCAGTCCTATATGCAGCTTTAGCACTCGTATCAATAGGCGTTGGGGGCACACGGTTCACCATAGCAACGATGGGAGCTAACCAATTTGATGATCCCAAGCATCACGGGATCTTCTTTAATTGGTTCTTCTTCACCTTGTACATTTCTTCAGTTGTAAGTTCAACAGTCATTGTCTATGTTGAGGATAATGTGAGTTGGGCAATGGGATTTGGTCTGTGTGTCGCGGCCAATGCAATTGGCTTGGCCATTTTTGTTCTGGGAAGCCGTTATTATCGTCATATTAAGCCAAAAGGGAGCCCTTTCTTGGATTTAGCTCGGGTTTTCATTGCCGCCATTAGAAAGAGGAAGATATTGCTTTCATCCAGAAGTGAGGATTATTACAATATTGAGCTTGATGGGAACACAGGCATGATGCCAACAACACCAACTAAAAGCTTCAAGTAAGCATATATACATTGTTGACTAGTATTTAAATCACACTTCAAGATATATATGTAACAATCTTCTATTGTAGGTACTTAAATCGCGCAGCACTGAAAACAGAAAAGGATGTACAATTAGACGGCAAAATCACAAGAACATGGAGGCTATGTACTGTACAACAAGTAGAAGATTTAAAAACCTTAATCAGAATTTTCCCACTGTGGTCCACTGGTATTTTCTTAAGCACCACAATAGGGGTCCAATCCAGCTTAGTAGTCCTCCAAACTCTAACCATGGACCGTCACATTGGACCTCACTTCAAAATCCCAGCCGGGTCCATCCTAGTCACTGCATTCATTTCCACTTCCATCTCTCTCACTCTCATTGACTGGTGCTTATGTCCTACGTGGCAAAAGCTAACTCGTCGATCTCCGACACCACTCCAACGTATCGGGCTCGGCCACGTGCTAAATGTACTTAGCATGGGTGTGTCAGCCATAGTGGAGTCCAAGCGGCTTGAGATAGCCCGAGCCCACCAACTCCAGGATCAGCCCGGTTCCACGGTGCCAATGTTGGCCTTGTGGCTCCTTCCACAACTAGTTATTGTTGGCATTGGTGAAGCATTTCATTTCCCGGGACAAGTTGCACTGTACTATCAAGAATTTCCGGTATCGTTAAAAAGCATGGCAACTGCAATGATCGCGATGATTATTGGAATAGGTTTCTATTTAAGCACGGCTGTGATTGATTTCGTTCGGAGAGTTAGCGGATGGTTACCGGATAATATAAATAATGGGAGGCTAGATAATGTGTATTGGATGTTGGTTGTGGTTGGGGTGATAAACTTTGGTTATTATCTAGTATGTGCAGGGTTGTATAAGTACAGAAATGTTGAGAAGTCTGAGAATGATAACTCTAGCTTGCACAAGTGATGTTGATCTATCATACAAAACGGGCTTTAATGTATCTACCTACTATTCCTCTATACATATTTGTATTTATTTTTTTTTGGGTAAGTAAGTGGTAAATATATATATTAATTTGTTCATCTTGTGATACATTGATGGATTTCACAACATTAAATAGCAAAATAAGTAGTACTGCATGTGAGAAGCACACACACATATATATATATCTTATGTTATGATTCTGTTTTTGATATTGTAGATCAATCGTATGGTATTATGATATTTTTCTTTGATGAATTGCTGGAATATGAATTTGTTGCACAATCCAATTCTCCGTCAGATATCTATAGAGAGCGTATTTCCAAGCATCTATGGTAAGTATACTTTAATTGGAGCTTATGATCAAATTGTCTTATCTACGGTATCTCACACTCTCACAGTGGCAAATTGCACTATTGCAAGTAAAAATTTAAAGTACGAACGATAAAAGAGAGCAACAAAATGCTTAAAAAAAAAAAAAAAGAAAAAAAAAAAGAGAGGTACTTGAGAGGGTTTAAGTCCCATGTAAATAGACTCGTATAGGTTCTAAAGCAAAAGAAATTGTAATTGAAATTGGCTGGTTGAAAATTGTGAAAACCATTTCATTATTGGGGCGATCTGACACATCCAAAAGATCATATACACACTCCCCATTCACTCTGTATCCCATTAGGTTAACCATTAATTCTTTTTAAGTTTTAAGTCACATTCGTAGTTGATGCTATTGCTTAACCACGATATCCGCGTGAATCCTTGGCTTGACAACGACACAAGATGCACTTTGCCAAACGGACAAGGGGACACGGGCACTATGCGTGCGTGGGGCATTCCCTAATTTTATTTATTTATTTATTTTTTTTGGGGGGAATGGAATATTTCATTAGCCCGATAAAAAATGTCTTACTTTTTATTTTTATTTGTTTCAAAATAATTCTTTTAATTCAAAATTTAATGCACTATTTTTTTTTATAGTAATTCGTGAACCCATCATAAAAGAGTATATTAAAAAATCATTTCTTAACACTATAATAAAAAGAATTAAAAACCACATTCTTACAAAGTTAGACTATCAAAAATGGACTTTTTTTATGCGGTAATATTTAAATTCTTACCCGTGAAGATGACTGTTGTGTATCAATTGATACTTTTTATTTTAATTACTAAACATTATATATAATTTAATAATAATTATAATATATATATTTATTATTAATCCAAGGACGCGTCCTTGTAATTTGTTCCTCTAATTTGAATTGATAAGTTGCATAATTGTTTGGTTCATTTTGAGTACATCCACAATGGTCAAAAAAAAAATAAAAAATTCTCTTCCTTTTTTGACTTTCTATCGCACATCTATTTATAACCTTGTTTTTGAAAACATTTACAGTTAGTGCCATTGTGACAATAAAAGTGATGTACGCTTTTTATAAAAATGATGCCATATTTAAGAGTGAGTTTAATGATGAATCTGTTGTTAATAATCCTATTTTTTGAAAAAATTACAACTAGTGCCATGATGAAAGTGATGTAATGTAATCTCACTTTTACAATGATGGTGGACATTGGCACTGCCAACTATCCTTGGCACTTCTCGTTCATTTTTAAGTAGTTCCCATCATTCAGAAACAACAAATTATTTTCAAAAAATTATAATAGACAATTTTATAAAAGTATTTTTTAGTTAAGTTTTCAGTTAATGCTTTTTAAATAATACAACAAATTAAAATTTTATTTTTCTGAAAATAGAATATTGTTCTCGAAAAATGAATTAAATAGACTCTATAACACCCATGAAATTACTGAATTATTGGAGTAAATTCATCAAATCGCATGAATTAAGAAATTCTGAATGTGATATCGTATATATGTATGTATATATATCTATATTTGTATTTTGGATTATGATTTTTTTTAATTATTTAATTGATAGGTTTGATTTCTAACACCTCACCCGTCTTTTGAATTGTTAGGGTTATTAGCTTACTCCAACCCACTCTAACCCACTCTATGGTTGGTTTTATTGAGAATTTAATTCCTTCTTCATCATACAATACGGATTTATCATCATCATTCAAGGATATACAAAGATAACAAATCATACACATGCATACATAACACAATATTTTACATAATACTTGGGCTACCTACATCCATTAAGAGAGAGATTTCACTGTTATATATTAAGAAAAAAAAAATATAAAACCACAGATTCAACGTGGCAATTCCCACCAGCCATCACCATTTTACTTCCCCAATTACAGCAGGCCAATAATGTTCCATTGCCATGCCCACACAAGCAAGCTAGACAGTTATCTGGTTACCATCCCCTACTAAAACATTCTCAATTGCAAAGACAATGAAGCACTTTAACAGCTATCTACCTAGCCTGCCTTAGACTCACTTAGTTTGGTCCAAAAATTCAATACCCAAGCACTCATTCACTCTGTGGGTAGCTATACAACAGAAACTCCCAACCCTCAATAGAAGGTGCACAACTCACATCAATGCCACACTATGCACCCTCTGTAACTCCTACTTGGAGAACCACAACCACTTGTTCTTTGAATGTGACTACACAAAACCCTTGTAGACATTTTTCCAAGCAAGATGTGAGTTCCACATCCAACCATCCTCATGGCCTAACCTTATCAATTGGGCATCACAACACTGGCTTAGCATGCAGTTCAGGATTCTACAGCAACTCAGCTTCAAAACTTGCTTTGGCTGCACTTGTCTACAATATATGGATGGAGTGCAATAGAAGGATCTTTAAGAGGAAGTTTTTGTCCCAAAACTCACTACTTCATCAAACACTAGAAATGATCAGGCTGAAGCTCATATCCACAACATTCACGGATTCACTAAATGCAAGGCGTATTATCAAAGAATGGGACCTCCCATCATCAGTTATTCGTCCACCGGCCAAACCACCTAACTGGAATTGAAGGTGAGTGGGAGTAGGCATTATCTGCATGTTTCAACCTTCCCTTTGTTTACATGTTTGGACTGTTCTTGGCTTTGGGCCCGTACTCTTTGGGTGGTCTCTTGTTTGGTTAGCCTGGTGTCACGGGCCTAGAGATTTGGCGCAGCGGCACGGCCCGTGCGGCACCAAGGCGTTGCTTCAGCTCGCGCATGTGCCCTGGTCAGCCACCACGACCTGCCCTCCCAAGGATACATGCTGACTGGTTTCGGCCTGCCATGGCCTTGTTAGGGGAACGGCTCCAGCACCCGACCAGTTTGTGCAGGGATGGCCAACTCCCTTCTTCATAGTCAAGTCCACGACCAGCGACAAGCACCTCGAACTGAACCGAGTCGACCTGCCTGAACTCTGAAGAGGTACCATCCTGTGGTCCTGCACGCCCTTTCCTTGGAACCATTCCCAGTCAATGAGAGTTCTTTGTCAACAAGCATGCGTATCTTCTATGCTCATGGCGTCGTTAGGAATCAGATCGTGACATTCTCCCCCACCCAAATCCTGCGACGCCTTCGTCGCAGTGCGGTGCTGACTCCGCTGCGTCCAACATTCCAAAGTCTCTCTCCTCCAAGTGGTATGCTCGCTACCCACTATCGCTTCCTTGTACAACCCCTGGCTGCACTCGCCCAATGATAGGGTTTCGGGCTAAAGGGACGCCCACTTCTTCGGGACGCAACCCCACATTATGCCGCCTCCGCGACACCCCGAGCAAACAAGCGCCCTCCGGCTGACTTGATATCCGCCCTTCACAACGGTTTGCACGCCTCTTGAACTTGCAAGAACTTTGGTGCGGGCGGCCCTCCGGCCATCCGATGCGCGCGGCCCTCCGGCTTCAAAGGACGCATCTTCATGGGGAGATGGAGGCTCTCCTCCAATAGCATTGATTGCCCACCGACGCTTTTTCAGTGCACCGTTTTCATTCTCAAGACCCCTGGATCTACAAGGGGGCACACCTCTGTGCTTTTCCCCAAGTCCTGCTCTGATACCATCTGTCACGGGCCTAGAGATTTGGCGCAGCGGCACGGCCCGTGCGGCACCAAGGCGTTGCTTCAGCTCGCGCAAGCGCCCTGGTCACCCACCACGACCTGCCCTCCCAAGATACATGCTGACTGGTTTCGGCCTGCCATGACCTCGTCAGGGGAACGGCTCCAGCTCTCGACCAGTTTGTGCAGGGATGGCCAACTCCCTTCTTTATAGTCAAGTCCACGACCAGCGACAAGCACCTCGAACTGAACCGAGTCGACTTGCCTGAACTCTGAAGAGGTACCATCCTGTGGTCCTGCACGCCCCTTCCCTGGAACCATTCCCAGTCAATGAATGTTCTTAGCCAACTAGCATGCGTATCTTCTATGCTCATGGCGTCGTTAGGAATCGGATCGTGACACTGGGCTAACTTACAATTTACACTTTTGGTCCATCTATAAATTAACCTTTATCTTTCAATATATATATATATACACACACACACAACCAAAGATGTCAAAACTTTACACACAATTTCACTATTTTCTTTCTTTCACTCTTCTGTTAGAACACCGTATACCCTTTTTTTTTGGTCTATATTAACATCAATTACATATACTCTCTCATGATCTCCTCACAACACTCACCTTTTAGCCCCTTGCATGTTTCTTTCTCTCTTATCAAACCCATTTCTATTTATAGTCTTTAATTACTAATTTCTTGGTGAATAAGAATTTCAAAACTTGCCTAATTGTGATAAGATAATGTTGAAAAAAAGGCTAAAACTCTCACAACTCTTTCAATATTACTTTCAAAATTTATAGATACCAGGTTTACATTCAATTGAATTAAGAAAGATCTAATTAAGGGATTATGATTTGAAATATCAAGGGAACCCTTAAATTAAAGACATCATATTAATTTTAAATACACAAAAATCATATATACGATTTCATATTAAGAATTCCTTGAGATTATATAGGGGAACTTGATTTATGAGTTGCTAACTTGAGTAATGTAGGGCTCGGTCCAGTTTAACTGATCATCACTAATATGATTTTGTATTTTATATCATGATAAGTTTCATATGTACATTACACTGCATATATTTTCAAGTAAAAAAATATAATAAACAAGTTTTAAGAAACTTGTACACAACACCCTTTTTTTTATC